GCAAAAGGGTGGTGATGCAAGGCTCTCCTCTCTATCACCTTCCTTCAGTCCTGTTCCCCACTTTCTGCTGTGACTGTTCTGGTCGATCTCACCGTGGTGGCCCCTTAACTCATTCTCTCTCCCACATTTTAAAAACAAAAATTCAGGAGGAAAAAAACCTTAACAGAAGAACATATAAAGTTTTTTCAGTTGTCTGAGGGTGTCTTGTGTGTGTCATTTTTCTGAGTCACTGTATAGCTTTTCAGCACATTCTGTAAGGTTTTAAAAGGAGGATCACCAATAGACAGAAAAGGATACAAGATGGTGCCTGGGAGGCAAAGACCCAGGATCCACACTCCATCATTCAGAACAGTGGTCCTTAAACCTGGCTCGAGAAGAGAAGCACTCAAAGTGTGTATATCCAAACCCATGCCCCCTACAGCACCCACCCCTCACACTGCACAGCATGGTTGTTCTGCTTGAAGTCCTCAGACCATTTTTGACTCCACTTAATACCGACTCCAATACTGAATTCGGATCTCCCGATACTTTAAATTCTTAGCATGGTTCCTGGAATACTGTGGTCACCCAATACTCTCATAGCCCACACAACAGTTACTTATTGACAGGTATTGGGCATACTGTGGGATAAAGAGGATTCATACCTCTGGGTCTTGCCGAGCACTGGCTATCAAACCTTGCCTGTCAGCCACATTTTAAAATACATTTTATTTTAATTCAGTATGCTTGTGAAGGCACACATCAGAAACAAACACACACAACTGAAACATATTTTCCACAAAAATTTACCCTGTGAGCAACATGTTGGCATTTTTGATTGTATTATTTTCTGTTCATCTCCATATAATAGAAAGAAGCTATGGTTGTAACCCATTAGATTGATTTCAATACCAACCAAAGAGAATCATAAATATTTTTTAAAAGCTTTCTGCAGTAGACGTTTTAACTTGCTTCTGAACATTAACAGTAACACCTTGTGTAGGTCCTTTCTTTTTCCAGGTTTAAAATCCCAGTGATTGCAAAGATAGCAGTATCATTTTGATAAGACATAGGATTTTATCTCACTACTTAGAAGAAACTAAACTTCTCATGAGTAAAGAGACATAGCTCTTTAGAACTAACAAGAATGTGCATACAATGAGATGATTTCCTTAAATGGACACTGCTAGCATCAGGTAGGCACAAATCTAAAAGTGAGAGACTTCACCAGCAACAGCACACACAATATTAAAAATCAAGAAACATGAGAACACACTTATGCTGTTGTTTTTGTTGTTGTTATTACTATTATTACTATTATTATTTTGATTCAGAGTGTCTGTCACCCAGGATGAAGTGGCACAATCAGGATTCACCACAACCTCAACCTTCTGGGCTCAGTTGATCCTTTTGCCTCAGTCTCCTGACTCAGCTGAGACTACAGGTGCTTGCCACCACACCTGGTTAATTTTTTTGATTTTTTTTTTTTTTTTGTAGAGACAAGGTCTTGCCATGTTGTCCAGGCTGGTCTTGAACTCCTGGGCTGAAGTAATCCTCCGGTGTCAGCCTCCCAAAATGCTGGAGTTACAGGTGTGCACCACCATAACCAGTCACACTTATGTTAACATAATGAATTTATTGAACTATGCCTGCTATATCACATTTAATAAAAATAAAATTATTTTTTTCTTTTTCATAACCTAATGTAGAATACAATAGTCATTATAGAGGCAGAACATCTAGAAGTATGGTATTCCCAACTACAGAAAGGGACAGCACCTCCATTTGTATTAAACAACCCATGTCATCAACATGCATGCACCAAGTTCTAAGGGTGGCCTCTTTGCTACTAAGTGCCTAACTTAGCTCAGGTGTCCAACACTAATGATGATGCACTTCTGTGACTAACAGAGACCTTTACCTGCCCTCCTTCAGTACCTACTACCCCCTTTCTCTATCATCAAGAAGCTGAATGGGGAACACATCCACTCAGTCATAGGCTTATTTGTCAGCATCCCTTGCTTTGCATTCATCCATGACCAGGTCACAGACAATGAGACAGACGCAGAAGTGAGACATGCACCTTCTGTGTCATAAACTTAAGCATTCTCTCTTCCCTGCCTCTATTAGCAGGAATGTGGACGCGGTGACAACCCAGGAACCAAAGGTGGAACTCAGGTATTGAAGAGGGCTCACACTCTTGCATGAGAAAGAGCTAAATGCATATACCGTTGGTGTAGGATATGGGTATAAACATATACCCTTGTTGTCCTGTTAAAGCGGCCACAACTATACCCTAAGTAACAGAATTCCTATTCTACCATTGACTCCTCCAAACTCGCAAGAAATGGTAGATAATGTGAGTGAAGATTAATTATAGTGTAGAAGCAAGGTGAACAAAAGCGTGTAAGAACGTGCAGCTGTCCAGGAAACAGACAGTTCTATGGAAATAGAAAGGTCATGCATTCCCACATCGACGATCCAGAGCGTCAAATAAGTATCTCTTTGAGGATAAGGCTACTTGTCTTCTACAGACTGATGCTTTTTTTTTGACATAATGAAACTTTTTTGTGTATATTTCATACAAAATACAGAAATAGAACATAACGGCATCCCTCACATTACTACACCAAAATGTCAAAAGATTCACTGCTCAGCATGAAAATGCATAGCAACATAAATATGAAAGGACCCTTCATTTGAAATGTTGTATCCACACCTCAGTGCAGAGTCAAGCAGAGACTACTGTGAACAAATGTAGCATCACCAAGTAATGTGTGTAAGGGGACTCAAGGGAAAAAAATAAAAGAAGCTAAAACATTATTGATTCAGATGGAGGCTGTCTCTGATGGCTATAACTACACAGAGTGACAGACCATTTATTTATTCTACATTTTTGTAGTATTTTTATGCAATTAATTTGGAGCTATTTCAATGTATTGGTTATTTATTTGGCCCATATTTATAGCAGAGGTTATTTGTAGACAAAGTTTATAGAGACACATATAATTGCATGAGCATATATTCAAATAATAGAGAACATATCTTTGGGGACATCTGCTGCAGAAAAGTACAATGGTGAATTTCCAGTAGTTTTGATAACATCATGAATATTTCAGACCTAATGCTTGATTAAATGTTTTACTTATTATTGACCAAGCACTTCTGAACATGTGTTTGTTGAGAGTGACAGGAACTTACTGATCCAACACGGCTGGTATTAGTAGAATATACTTTATAGACATTTGCTCTATTTATTTACATTAAAATCTCAACACAAATATAGTGTTGAAAAGTAAAAGCAAAGGGAGGTATAACACCCTGAAAAAGGAAACCTAGGGAAAAACAGCAACCCTTTTCTCTTTCCTGTTCTTGATGTACAAAATGATTATGGTATTTAAGTGAAGATAACACAGAGAAATGCTGTTGACTAGAGTCCCCTCAGGGTTCTGAAAGACAGGAGGCTCTATACAGACATTGAGGAGCCAGAAGACGGTGCAAATTTATTTTCCTCTCCACAATTTTTCATCTAAATAAAAGGAGTGACAGAGATGGTCTTAGACTTGGTGGCAATTATCTAGTAAGATAATGCATGGCATTCTGATAAGAAAGACATTAGTAGGTAAAGAAGTTTAATGATTACTTCACTCTAGAAATGCAATGTGAAAGGATAGCCTTGAAATAAACATTACCCAGTGTGTGATCCCAGAGATATGGGAGAAGTTTTCATCTCTATGTAAGTTTATTATTTAGATATTCATATTCTAAGCATGTGAACTGTAGAAGAGACAGACAAACTAAAAGACACAAGGATGGACATATTAAAAATGGGTAACAATTTAGCACATTCAGTTTATATGTTCTAATTGTCCACAGTACAATCATATGAGAAAATTCATAGATAATGACTAAGCTAAATAAACCAGGTATGATGGCTTACGCCTGTCATCCTAGCATTTGGGAGGTTGAAGTAGGAGGATCTCTTGAGGCCAGGAGTTCAAGACCAGCCTGGGCAACATAGCGAGACCTCATCTCTACAAATAAATTTTTAAAAAAATTAGCTGGGCATGGTGGTGTGTGCTTAGAGTCCCAGTTGTTCAGAAGGCTGAGGCAGAAGGATCCCCTAAGCCCAGGAGGTCACTCTAGCCTGGGCAACAAAATGAGACTCCAACTCAAAAAATAAAAATAAAAAAGACTATGTTAAATCAACTGATTGTTTTCTCTGGTCTTTCAATAAACAACAAATGGAGGAAAAAATGTTAGAAAATGAATTCTCTGGAGCAAAACGTGGAACAGCAGAACACATTATTGAGAGTCTCGGCAACATTACATTGTCCATGGGACATTCAGAACCGTGACCAAATGTCTTTACAATTCAAACAAGTAAGAAAAGGCGTTAGGAAATTTTCAAAATGAATAGAAAAGGAAAGAGCCAACTCTGTTCATCGTTATCAGCTCAGTCTATTGTTTATGGCACCCAGGCAGCTTCTGAGCCTCTGTGGTCTGGCTTGAGAGATGGTCCCGGGTGGCTATGATGCACAGATGGGGAGGTACAAGACTGCCTTGCTGAGGTCCATCAGCCAGGTGCAGTGGCTCATGTCTGTCATCCCAGCAATTTGGGAGGCCAAGGCGGGAGGATTACTTGAGGCCAGGAGTTAAAGACCAGCCTGGGCAATAGAGTGAGACCTCATCTCTACAAAAAATATTATAAAACTTAGCCAGGCATGGTGGTGTGCAGCTGTAGACCCAGTTGCTCAGGAGGCAGAGGGAGAAGGATCGCTTGAGCACAGGAGGTTGAGGCGGTGGTGAGACAAGATCATGCCACTGCACTCCAGCCTGGGGATGAAGCAGCATGATTCAAATGTACGTCATCAAAATGTAGGCATTTGGTCAGTTCTCTGTCTGTTATTCCCTGAACAGACACTACTGCCATCATGAACATGTCTATAGGCAATTTATCGATATTGTCGAGAAATTATTTAAATAATACAAATAAAAATATTTAAAAACAAGCTACTCACCAATTCCAATGAAGGCAGCTTTGAAGCCTTTTTCTTTCAAAGTTCTGAGAGTCATTTCATTCACTGCAAGGCTTTTGCCACAAATTATCTACAAAAAAAACCCCAGCATTTTAATAATGACTTTTTGGCATTTGAGTAATTAAGTTCTTGGTATTTAACGTAAAAAAGCATGGAAAATCAGTAAAAAAAATCTATCCATCTATGAAAGTCCATATGTAATATAGAAAGGTATCTGTGTCTTTGAGTACCTATATAGGCTTAACTATACAAAATAGTATGTAAGTAGAACATTAGCATGTTTTATTAAGGGATGATGCAGAAGTAAAGCCAGCATAACCAAAATCAAGTCAGTGAACTTTTGAAGCTTGCTCCACACGTCTAAAGCACTCTGTGGAGCACCTGAGCAATAAAATGATGAGGGAGGCACAGTTCTTACATCAGTGTATAGTCAAGAAGGGACAGATCATATACACAAATCAATAGAATATAAAACTGTATGTGGTCACCACGTGTAGGTGAGTTTAGAGGATGAAGACATTCATTCCAGGGAAGAGCACAAGGGTAAGAAAGCAGAAGGAAATGGAGTTTCAATGGGGCCTGTTCTAGAGAGGGTGGGGTTCTGATAGTGGGTGCTGTCAAGGAGAGGCACAAACACCAGGGGCAGTGGGCAGTCACCCAGTTAAAAGTCTCAATACTTTGTAGGGTTCCCAGGCATGAGTCAATGTTCTGATCCAGAATCTGCTGACCTGTGAGGAGGCTGGGTCCCTAGGAGGAAGGACCCTGAAACATCCTGTTAAGGGAACACTCCCCAGGAGAAATTTGGCTACATAGACAGGCAACCACACACTAGAGAACAGGAAGTGATCAGACACTCAAGGACTATAAAATGCAGGTTTTTCATTGCTGTTTGATACCAGGAGTGAGGTAACAAATTGGAGCCTGGCTAATGTCTGGGTCATAGTGGGCTCACTGAAGTCACAACCCAGGCAGCCACCATTCTCCTGGCCTCTCAGGGCATAATTGAAAGTGTTACACTGCCAGTTCAAGTACCTGCACACTGGGTCTCTGGTCTGTAACAGATGTAAGAGTAGAGAAGGTCACTTGAAAATCCATCCGAGATAGTAAATCAAACACAATATCATATCCTAGTGTGGCAGGATGGGGAGGGGTGGTAATGGTACCTGTTCTACTCCATCAAACTCACCAGCCTGGCTCCTGCCAAGACAGGAGGATTTTTGGAGGATGACTATAGCCTTCTGCAGGCTTCACTAAAGAGCAGGTTGGAATGCAGTGCCTGGAACTGATGTGATATCATCGCTAAAGCATACTTATGAAGTCACACGTATCCCGCATATGGCCGTTGGTTCGGCAAATCCATGTTTTTCCATTCCAATTAGAAAAAGAGATCAGAAACAGTGCAGATTCACAGAGGACAGACAGGAATACTCATTGGCAGTTTTGCCTCAGGGGTATGTCAACTCTCCTCAGTAATAATACATGTCATCTGAAGCAACCTGGATGTCCCACAGAACGTCATTGCAATTCATCATACACTGGCACCATGTAGATCAGACAGCACAAACAAGAGATGGTGAGTATACTGGAGTGAAAGACACCTGCTCTCTGAGATCAGGAACAGGCCACTGAGTGAAGTTCAGATGGCCAGTTGTCAGGCATGTGCCTGGACGGACCGAAAAAGTGAGAGACAGCTGTCTCCCACAGCCCTGCTAGAGGGAAGGGAGCACAGGCCTGGTGGGCTTCTTTGGTTTCCTAAATGCAAAAGTCTACAAATAGGTCAGACAGGAAAGACAATACAAGTTTAAACGCCAATGGAATCATAACAGCAGCTAGCCCTCATAGAGTCTTTAACCAAATGTGAGGCTTTCTTCCAAGCACTGCACACACAATTTCCACAAGGGCCTTAGGAGGTGTCCTCAGTGTCCTCATTGCACTGACAATGGAATTGAAGGATAAGAGGGTTTCAGCAGCTTTACTGAAGTCACACGTGCAGTCTAATGCCACGTGTAGCAGCTGGGTTCTACGTCTCTTGAAGGTGAAGGGTGGAACCAGCACCGTTCCCGCAGGCAAAGGACAAAGCATCGTACATGAGTGCCATGGAAAGGGTGGTGCTTTTGGAGTTGAAAGTGCAAAGCAAGGAATGTAGGGGGGGCAATGACGAGGACCACGGAGGGCCATTGTTCCATCTTTCTAACATATTAATTCTATTTTTTTTAACTGGCAGATAGAGGAACTGTTTGAAAGTTTATAATAAAGGAACAGTCAAAGTGATTTAATAACTAATATTCAGAACTCCAGAACATATCAAACACCATAGACCCAACAGAAGTGTCAACTGAGCAAGTACTATTGGAATACTTCATAGTAAATATTTAGTAGTGAGTATTACTATTAAAATTACAGTTAGATGCTACTAAAGATACCTAATAGCAAGGCTTTAGTACTTTAATTTGTTATAGCTTTTAAAGAATGGCTATTCTATTTCATCTTCTTAAAAAAGGAAGATGGAGAACTCCACAGTTTGGTTTATGAACTAAATAGCCTTTATACCAAAATATATTCAAGGTTAGACATGAAAGAAAAGAACAGGTCCACCCACTATAATCAAATATTAGGAAACTGAATACGAATGCAGGTTCCAAAGGTGGGCAGTGGAATGCACTGAGAATGGGTTAACTGATGGGAGTGATCCTCAACACCTTAGCCTTCAGTTTAGTTCATCCACTGCCTCAGCAGGAAGATTCAAGAAAGGCCTCCCATCCCTCCTGAAATGAGTGTGCGGGGAGGCCCACAGAAGTCTAGCAGCGGTTCTGTAGGATTTATCAAAGGAGAATGAAGTCGTCTCAGTCTTTCCACCACAGCCGAGTGAACATGCCTTTGCAACTGTAACACTAGGACAGATGCACAGACAGTGCATTTGTACAGTCGACTCATGAGCAGTAGTGGGGAAGGAACAGCTGGCCGTTTCTTTTTGTGTATAGAAAGCCGGGAAGACAAGTGTCTGGACTCTTGGTGTTAAGCTCCTCGGACTGAGACCAGCAAGACCTTACTGGGGAAAGACACTGTGGAAGAGACAGAGGACGACAATCATAGGCCAGCAGCTCCACGGTGGAACTGAGGACACAGCAATGACAGCATTCAATGGGGTGATAGGCCCCAGTATACCCCTCCCTCTCTGTGACTGGGAATCGACTCAAATTTCCCTTTCCTGAGAGTTTCAGGCCCAAAATGTTTGGCATGCAATACATAATCCACTCTTAGAAAGAATTAGGAAAAAATATTTCATTAAAAAAGCTTTGCTTATATTATGTCTTGGGAAAGTGAGCTGAGATGTGCAAAACTTAACTAAAGCCAGTATCACAAGACAAAAAACAAAAAACACACATACACACACAAACAAAAACTACTGACATAAAACACATTCCTGTGGCTGACACGCTATGAAATCTCAACATTATCTATTAGACAGACATGAAGCTAGAATAATCACATGGTGGGCATTTTGTTTGTTTTTGCTCCCTTACTCCCGGTACTTTTAAATATACAACATTTTCCATTTTGATTTTCTTGGATATGAATATAGAATATGTTCTGCCTTTCTATAATGACTTCAATACCATATGATTAAATACTTCCTAAATCTGGAATAAGAATCCATTCCACTTCAGGTTCAGTGTAAGTTACTATTTTGGTCCAACAGAAATTCTTAATGTCTTCCACCTTAGAGCCCAAGTTCCATTTAGGATTTGATAAAACAAATATTTTTATATATCCATAATATGTGTTCATTTATATAATAATATTTATTAAGCAGGATGAAGAAAGGTTTAAAACTTGTTTTTGGGAGATGAACTTTCTTCAAATAAAATATGTGATTTCCATTTTTAAAAAATGCAGATAACAGTGTACATAATCTTTACATTTTCTAATAAAAACTTTGGTTAAATAAACCACATATGTCCAGAAGCTCAAAGAGAGATAGAAAAAAATAAAATGATTTTTAATATATTTAGCTTTCTTTAGACACAAAAATATTTTATTAGTTATTAATGCACATTTCTCTCCTCCTAGTAGAGGTATGATATGATTTTATTTTCATTTTTCAATACAACCCTATAATACTGGAAATTCTTTCTTCAGATAAATTTAGTAAAAAACAAGACGATATGAGTTTGTTAAGAAAGAGAATGCGAATAGACTTTGTCTCGTATTATGAAGCAGAAGAAATGCATAGCAGTTACAAATTAAGTTTACTCAAAATAGAATTCTATCAAAATATTTTGAGAAATGACAAATATACATATTTTAAACATATCTAGAAAAATGCAAGATTTTCATGAAGATGCTACATTTTTAACTCTGGAAATTAGAAGTATTATAAGGAGTATGAAATGAAATATTCATTTCTACTTGTATTCTAAATTGCATAACAAATAAAAAAGGAACATTTACTCTAAATTATTAATAACATCATCTGACGCAAGCATCACAGGATATCCTATCAAACTCTACCTTGGACTAAAAATAATTTGGAGGGGGTCTATATTGAAATTAAGCTTTATAAAAATCTAAGAGCTTTTATTTAAAAAAATTATAGCTACAAAGCTATTTCTCCTAAAGGTAATAAATAATTTTATGACACTAGAAATGATCCTTTTATGTGAGATAAATTGAGAATATATTTGATAAAATAAACTTCATATCATTCTGATTAGTTAGATTAAAAAATGAAAATTGAATTCTATCACAAGAATACAGAAACAAATACAACTATTATCCCTCATAACTGTTGTCTATGGGGGAAAAAAACTAGAGTTATTCAAGAAAAGTAACAATAATAAAATAATGAAAACACAAGGGTGCTAACAAAGGTGTGTTTCTAGGGAAAGTCATAACCCTAAATGTTTTCACTATTCAATCTATAAAAATGAAGTAAGTAAGAACACAACTCAAGGGGTTAAAAGAGACTAACTAATAAAGATGGCAGAGAAAATGTTAATAAAGATATAGTTAGAAATTAATGAATAGAAACACACTACTTTGAGAACTGATTCTTTTAAAGAATACATTAACTAGGGAAACTACTACAGAGTCTTATTAAGAAAAAAGTTAAGAAAACAAGGTAAATTTAGAAATGAGAAAGAAAAATTTAATCACAGGCACAGATATTTTCATTGCATAGTGAAATAACAGGTTTAAATCTGTGCTAATAAATTCAAACATCTTGATGAAGCAGGCATTTTTTCTAGCAAAATATATATTGGCAAAATTGACATGAGAATAAAATAGGAAAGACTAATGACCATGGAAAATATGATGAAAAATAGCCAAAGTTCTATCTCTCATAAAAGGACACTGAGGTCAGCAGAAAAAATTGTCCAAATTTAGTAAAAAAACCAAAAAATTAGGTCTCAAAATCATATTCATACCAATGATAAAATAACGAAATGCTCAGAAGTTTTATTTTATAAGGCTAACCTAACTCTATCATCACAAATTCACAAAAATTAAAATAGTATTTATTGATTTCTCACTTTGTAAGTGTAGCAACAGTATTTGACTATTACTTGCTATGTTTCTACTTTTAATATCCATTATATAAATAAATCAACACAAAATAAAATTTAAAAGATACTAACAAGACAAATCTAGTTCTACAGGTATAGAAATAATAAAGTATAATGTAAAAATTAGTATAATCCCAAAATTCAATGATTAGTATAATTCAACATATGAACTGAATGTAAGTTTTTTAAAAGAGCAATTGAAAAATGTAATATCGCTCTTTTATTAGGTTTTGTCTAACTTAATACAGTTTTGGTAATGTAAGATTAGAAAAAATATTTATTCAATATGATTAAAAATGCTATCTCAGTGTCAAGAAAAAGACTACATTATCCCTCTTTTTTTAACATACCAGCCATTGAAATAGTTGAAGGAAAATATATAATGTATAAACAACAGATAAAATTCTCAATATGTTCTTGTGATATGATATTTGACTTGAAAAATTCATCTTAGAACTAATACTATTTATCAGCTATTATATATACGAAAACCTGAAATTATTCAACACGAAATTTAGCTAAAAATGATAGTTTGGACTGAAGATGATGAATTGAACTCGATTCTGAACACAATTCATTTATGTTTTTCAGATGATAGACGTGCTTATTAAACTACTGAGAACACAGGACAGAAGTTCAAAGAAGAACGGTTCTGGATGGTTTCAGTTTTTGGGACACTACTTGGCAAATGCAAATTCTGAATAATTATTTGTTGAACAGATGAGACAAAACTATTGGAAAGAAAAAGAAAATTTAGAAGAATAGCCAAGATAATGCTAGTCCATGAAAGCTAAAAATAAATGCATACATAAATAGGATAATGTATGCATCATGAGCTGCACAGCAGTCAAACAGTATGAACCCAGAGAAAAGTTCATTACGTTGCCTAGAAATTCCTGTTGACTTTAAATAATATAAAGCTAGTTGAGAGAAACAAACCAAAGGCAGATTCTAAGAAGAACTTAAGTGATGAGTAGAAGGAGGTAACAAGTAGAGACTACTCTTTAAAAAATGAACCCTCACTTGGCTAAAATTGACAGATCATAAAGGCTGGAAGCGTATTCCATCATTGGACAAGAGGCCCCAAAGTGAAAAAAGGGCATCATTACCGCCTCTCTTCAGAACTGTACATACTTCTTATTTTCTAAGCAAATCTGCATATTTTCTCTTTTGTACATCTTGAAACAACTTAAGAGATGTACAAGACTGCACTACCTGCTAGTTAGGTTCCATTTTTTTCTCAATAATGTAACAAATTCAAAGTTTAAAATCCAAGTGTACAAAATGGTGATAACTTCTTCCCACACCTTCCCAAAGGCAACCTGTGCTCAGATTCTTAAATCTTTCCAGAAATATTCCATGCATACATGTATTAACATATATGCTTATATTTTACACAAATGGTAGAGGCTTACTTTTTCATTTGGACAGATATTGGTCAAGGCTAGGGATATCCATTGACTTTGCCAAAGCTATCTGACTATAAAATTAAGAAAGTAGCATGACTGTAGCTCAAATGTATTTACTGACCCTCAATGCATTGGCTGTTACTACATCTTGATGAGTTTTCAAATAAGAGTAATGGGTATGCCTTCATTTAAGGAATATATCTGGTCTTGTGAAAGTTGAATATAATCTTGCAATTAATTTCAAGATAAATGTGGAAATGCCTTAAATTAATTTCTTATTTTTCATTTTTATTGATACATAACTATGCATATTTATGGGGTACATGTGATATTTTTATACATGCATACAATGTGTAATGATCAAATCAGGGTAATTAGGATATCCATCAACTCAAACATTTATCATTTCTTTGTGTTGGGAACATTCATCTTTAATTCAGTAGTAATTACCGAATATGTTAGTGTGAAGGTTCAGTAATCATTTCCTTATTTAATGAGATTTAGGTAAGAACTTACATTCAAACTGAAAGACATTTTTAAAACTTTTTAGAATATATGTTTGGAAATAATCACTCCCAAATTATCTGTTTTGAACACTGTAATTTTGATTGTTGAATTTTCATAAAGTTGGTACACATCTATGCTGTGTTTTTGCTATCATATTTTTTATTTACTGATTATCTGTAAATGTTTCATCACTAAACATCTGGAAAATAAAATGTAATTACAAGCATAAAAGCACAGAATATTGTTTTGTGTGCTTTTTCTTTAATTGATTAATTCTAAGTTTTGTGGCAAATTCAAGAGCCATGAGTAGTTTATTAATTACTTTCAAAATATCTGCATTTGCTCATAGAATATATTGTGTAAATCATGTAACATTACTAATCTATAGTGTCATATCCATTATGCAAAATTAACATTCTGAAATAAAAATAGCAACAGTGAAGAGCTGGAATATAATACTCTTAATAAAAAAGAATAGAAATATGTAAAGCTATTCCCTGAAGATACAATGTGTCAAATTTTCAACCATCTTTAAAATAACAACACAATATTTATTTCACAAAAACAATGAAACACACACAGCTGTTGCTTTCTACCCCACTGATTTACTGCTTATGTTTTTATCACATTAACATTACTGACATGATGCATATAATAAATAAAATGAACCTCTGTAAGAAATTGTGTTGCAAATTGTGAAATACTAATGTTTCAGCGTGCACACAACTTGCATGAGAAAGCATGATTAAAGAGACCAAATCCTTCTATTAGCTGCACGGAACCCCTAAAGCAATTTAGGAATTTGTTTCTTACAGACAATTAATCACATGCAGGCGTGCCAGATGAGAACTATTGATTACCCTTTCCAGGCTAGTGGCATTCAGACAGTAGACAGACAAATGCCCTAAGCAAGGGAAAGTATCTTTCTGCTTCTGCCTGGTGTTGCTTTTAATTGTTCTTCCCTAAAATGTGTGACATTTGCTGTTAATACTTAGTGTAGAACGCACCCCTTTCTCTTTGAGTTGCACATATATAGGTGTTTTTTCATTTACCTTTACACCAAGGTCCTTCATAAGCTCAATCTCAAAATGCACTACATCATATGGCAGCCGGAACTGGGGGATTTCAGAAGTGCTAACAGAAAGAAGAAGAAGAAGAAGAAAAACATTAGTAAAAAAATTACCAATCCTAAAAAAAAGTCTTTATTGATCAGTATTCAAAAAATAAATATCTCTTCTAAGGGTATTGATGTATCATATAATGTGAGCATGAGGGCACCCACATTTTTATTGACACAATAAAATATTACATGGATAAAGTTATGTAGAAACTGATATAAATAACCAAATTGTTATAACAGAAAGTAGTAAATATAAAATTGACCAAAAGCAATTCCAACACTTTTAGGTTCAATAAAGGATTTCGTTGGTTTATTTAATAGCAATTTATGGATTCCTAAGATAACAAAATCTTGAAAACTAAGAACTAGTTGAAGTGATAGAGTTTAATACACATATATAGATATATAAGCTAGCATACACTTCCATATTCTATAAACATGTCTCTAGCTTGTTGAAACTCAAATGTATAATTCTGTTTACCATGCTGTTTAGAATATTAATAAATCAGTTCCCAGTGATCTATGGAGCATTTTTACAGTAAACCAATCTTTTGTGAAAGCTGTAAGTGTCTCAAAAGGATACAGCCATTCCAAAGTATTCCTATTTGATATCAATGCTCACTGTCTACATTTTAAAAATCATGTGACCTATAGTATTATTTTAGTAGCATAATGGCTTAGAGTATTAAAGGTAAGCTCAAACACTTTCCATTGTTTTACAGCAATTAAGAGGCTATTATGTGTTATATAAGTTTAACTATTGCTAGTTAGAAATGTAAGATTATGTGTAAAAATGAATTTGGGCATAGGTCAGAGACACAGCTTTCTAAAACTGACTTGTGGACTCCAGTTATATCACCTCAGGGGACCCCAGAATGTTCTGGCCCTCACAGAAGGGTTTGCTTCAAAGGCCAAGCAGGAGGATCCTGAATTGTCACGAATGCATGTGGACACCAGGAAACACCCAGACTTGATAGGTGCAGGCTCCATGGGTTTGGGACTGAACATGGACTATTATTAGGATCGGATGCATGCTCTCAAAAGGCTGGTCAGGGAAACAGAAATCATGGGCAATGAGTAAAGAATTCCAGCCAAACAGACTAAGTGCAGCAAGATGAGAATCTTGACAACATCCAGACTCATTGTGAGGCTGAGTGCCTTCCTCTGACTAAGTCCTATGCTGGATTTTTATATAGGATGTAAGTAGAAGTATATGGAATGAAAGGGAGAAAATGGCACATGTGGTCCAGATGATTGCCATATTTGTTGGTGATGTCATCCCCTGAGATGGCAGACTCGGGAAGAGCAGTGGAGAAGTGTGTGAGGTGTGTGAGGTTTGTGAGGTGTGTGAAGTGTGTGAAGTGTGTGATGGCCAGGACTTGAACATGTAGGTGTGTTGTTCAGGACAGAGCAGTCAGGGCTGGTAGAGACTGTTAAGTATTCACATGTAGGTGGTCAGAGAAATCAGGAAAGAGAATGAGCTGACCCTGGAGACTGCCTGGTGAGAAAGGATAAAAAGACAAAAGACAGAATTTGGTAGAAATGATTACTTCCCAAGTTTGTTGTTTACTAAAGCAAATTTTTCTTCTATCTGTGCTCTTGTAACAATCTAAGGCTTTGAAAGACTTTTTTTCTTGCGGCAACCATAAATCCTTCAGTGCAGTCAGTGGAATGTCAGATAACATGAAAAAAATCGTCTTTCTTCTATATTCATGTTTCTTTCATGTAATGGAATTTATCTATAACAACTTTCCATTCTTCTTAAAGCACATTTCTCATCCTTTGAGTTTTGCTTCAGTTCATTATTGTACAGATACCAGACTTTAAATTTGCATTGCATCACCATTCTCAAAATATTTCCTATTGCTATAACTATTATACCTAGATCTCATTTTTCTTTATTGGCAATCACCATGAAATGCAATAGGTGTAATAAAAGCACAGTAGCGTTTGAAATAGCTAAGGTAAAGGACATCATCAACCTGATTATCCCACCTAGCAAAAGTGCCAAAATTCATATATATTATATTTTTTGGGGGGGGGGGTTGGAGTCTCACTCTGTTGTCCAGGCTGGAGTGCAGTGGCATGCTCACGGCCACCCCAGTCCTGACCTGCTGGGCCCAGGCGATCCTTCTGCCTCAGTCTTCCAAGTAGCTAGAACTACAGGCGTGTACTACCACGCCCAGCTAATTTTTTTGATTTATTGTAGAGATGAGGTCTTGCCAAGTTGCCTAGGCTGTTCTTGAACCCATGGGCCTCAGGCAATCCCCTCACCATAGCCTCCCAAAATGCTGGGATTACAGACTTGAGCCAATGCATCCAGCCTATATATTAGATTTTAAGAGAAAAGACTAGACAGTATAGATTCACAGGTATACTTATACTCTCTTAACACCATTTTGTTTATCTTTGTTATCATAATATTAGGTTCTTTAACCCTGTTAAGCTCTTATAGAAAAAAAAAGAATCCACCATTGGAGGAAAGCAAAGATACTGATTGTTTTATGAATGTGTTGCAGGATAAAAAATAATCAACTGTGTCCAATACAATAGGGATGAAGTCCCAGATATTTTTTTACTGATCTAGTGATTTTTAAAAAGTGGTTGTGACCCTAATTCACCAGAGATAAAAGAATCTGTTTGGATGCAAAGGAGGAGGAAAGACAAAACTTGACATCACCTCTTTAAGCAACTGATTTCAAATACAAGTCAATTTAATCTTTTTAGTCACTTTGAAGATAGAAGAGAATGAGAAGCAGCTGAAGCAAGAAAATAAACGAAGAGAAAAAATTTGTGGTTGTAATTCTGGCTAAATTCTAGGGTCAGTTTTTATAATCCTGTAACAGTGACAAAAAGTGCCTCCATTGTGGGACAGGATGAATGAAACCAATTAAACACTCCATACTGTCTCCACTTTGGGAAGATTTCAAGGCAAAGGAAAGAAATAAATGTTTTTATAATCAACCAAAAACAACACGTCTGGCCATGAGTCTGTCCCACTAGAAAATAGCAAATATAGCCGGGCTCGGTGGCTCAGTCTGTAATCCCGCGCTTTGGGAGGCCGAGGTGAGTGGATTGCCTGAGTCTGAGGGTTCGAGACCTGCCTGGGCAACTTGGCGAGACCTCATCTCTACAATAAATCAAAAAAAATTAGCCGAGCATGGTAGCATGCGCCTGTACTTCCAGCTACTTGGAAAGTTGAGTGGAAGGAACGCCGGAATTCAGCAGGTGGAGGCTGCGGTGGTCGGGAGCGTGCCGCTGCACTCCAGTCTGGGGGACAGAGTGAGACTTCAATTCAAAAAAAAAAAAGAAAATAGCAAATATGTTTTTGAAAAGTTTAATGTGAATTTATATATTTAAAATGCTCATCCTGCATTTGAGTTAAAAAAAGAGACACTCTAATAACCCTAATCTACTAAAACTGACAACAAAGAATAATTCAGAAAGAGGACAGGTTCCACCATAGGCTTCTTGTGAAAATACGATTAAGGGGCAAAGAGGTTTTTCCTAGTCTACCAGGATACACAACAATTAAGTTCGTATTTTTTAAATTAGCTCAAATATTCACTGGTGTGTATAATTGAAAAACAATATATGATGCTTACATATATGTTATTAATATAAATTATGTTTTTTCTAATTAATAAAGCTGTGGTAAACACCATTTTAAAAGACAGTCTAAATCCTTTTAACAAAATAATATATAGGGTATTTCACTTTCCAGAAAAACAAATTCATGTAATACATGCAATCTTCATAGTGATGAACCATCAATACAGAAAAATAATTACTTCTTAACAATCAGGTTATTTATACTTCATATCCTTTCTAAAGGGAATTCCCAGGATGTGATATTTTTACATGATGATTCAGTCAAATAATTTTATATTAATGATATCTTATAAATATTTATGTCAATAAATATATAAAAATATTTATATCAATGACACAAATCACTGATAATTTTTACCTTAGTTTTAGCACATTGATCAATGTTGAAATTTATACATATATTAACAAATATTCACAAGTGCCCCCCAAAATAAGAGGTCTCACAAAGTTTAGTCACAACTTCATTAAATATATTTTCTGTGATTATTAAAAATAGTAAATTTATTCCATACAAATAGGTCAGTAGCCCTAAAAATCTAAATGCTAAGTATAAAAACAGATATTCTAAATAGTTGTATTTTATAATCCTTCATTTTTTGATATAAGAGAACACGTGTAGTAAAAGTAATTTAGTAATATTATCCACTTACCACCCAAATTATTTCTCATTTTTACATAAAATGTTTTAAGCACTACCAAATCCCTACTTATAATAAATTTTATTTTGTTATAACTATAATGGCAATATATTTCCAGTGTAGCATTCCATTTATTTCTAAATTTAAAGTCCCATTTCAATGTTTGAATCTCCATGGAAATAAAATGACTGTGTGATTGAATTCTAGTTCATAATAATGACACTTATTAGCATCAAATATTAGTACAATATTTATTGGATAAATGCTGCAAAAATGTACATTTAAATAGAAAATATTTCTAACAGATGCGGACAAAACTGTGATCAAATGCAAGACTTAAGAAACTGTGAGCTGAAATATGTGAGCAGGACAGCATATCTACATAGACAACAAAACTGAGAGTTCAATATTCTCCGGAGCCAGGTTTTCCCCATCTCTAATATCCACGATTCCCATATGCATCTCTATTAAAGGAAAGATTCACAGAGATAAAATAATTTCTCATATCATTGGTTCCTATAATCAAAAAATATTTTTCTGGAATTTCTCTTAAATTCACAGAACTAGACAGAGAAAATTTTAAATAAATATTGCTTAAAGCCAACTGCAAAATTTAAAGTGAATAATGTAATCAAAATTTGAGCATTTGGAAAAAGAACATTTAAAATACCATCTGTGAGCCTGAAGTTTCTATATGATTATGAACCAACAATATTCATAATTGTTTTACCCCATCATTTTTGACACTATAAACATGAAATAAATGTAGGCATTACCTTAAACCACCAACATATTCTTGCTTTTCAAATATAGTGATGTCAGAGTACCCCAATCGAGCCAAAAATGAAGCACAACTTATACTTGCAGGCCCAGCACCAAAAAGAGCAATCTTTGCAGAATAAGCTTCAGACATCTTTTCTGGGGGAGGCAGGGAAGGATTTCTGATCTGTGGGATATTCATTGCTTTGAACACCTATGGAGAAATCAATTACCATTGTTAAAATTTTTAAGCTAAATTTTACATCCTCAAACATATCTTTAACATTTCAAATCCATTTGTGTTTTAAACAGCAGCAAGCAGTACATTTTGGGCATTAATATGCCATTTTAGAAGTTGTGTTATGTCAAGTAGATGAGGACGTATGGTTGACTAACTCTCATTCTTTGAAATGCCTTTGTAGAGTCACACCTCCTCTAGGAAGTCTTCCTGAATCATCTTTCTCACTCCCACCTCTAAGGTAAGTTACAGGCTCCTCCTCTGAGTGCCTACAGTGTAATTTGTACATCTCTAACACAACCACCTACTGCCATATCTATATAGGTGTTCCATTTCCATGTCAGTTACAAGAACAGTTCCTTGAGCCAGGACACATGTCCTATGTTGACATATTGCCATTGTACTACCAACATTTAGAGTTGCTCTGCCACATGGTAGGCAGTCAGTGAATAATGTCTTGGCCTCTGCTTCTGGTGAGGATGAGTTAGCTTTAAAAGGGGAGTCTTAAAAGCAGCAGCTGAAGCGCTGGGGAGGCACTGAAGCAGACCAACCACAAAGGTGCTAAGACCTCAGAGAAAAAGGAACAGCAGGGAAGAGAGGCGCTGGGAGTCACGTGTCCCTTAGGCATTGGCCACTCTCAGCAAAGGGAGGAAGGCCAGAATCTTGAAGAGGACTACCACTCAGAAAAGAGAAGTTGGTGATACTCTAAAACAGGAAAGACACAGTGTTTTGGAAATGCAGGAGGCTAGTAACCTGGAGTAAAAGAAAGAACACACACACACACAAAGGTGAGCTTAATTCTTAAGCTGCATAGGACAAAAGCGAAGGGTCTAAACAGAAAACACCTGCAAAGTAGGGAGTAGCTTTCTGCACTCTGAGGGTCCAGAGGGAACAGAAGCTGGAGGGTGGGAGTAACTACAGAAGGAAGGGTCCTAAACACCCCAGCACAAGCTGGGGCTGCAGGTGGGCCGTGCTGTACAAGTGGGGACCAGACGTAGGCAATTCACCGTGCTGCCAGTCAACGCAGCCATGGATCAGAAGGAAGGTGTTCAGCCCACACTCTAACTATAGCATGATAGGGAGAAACTTCTGTGAGAATAGTGAGTCAACCACAATACCTATAAGTTTGTATATACAATGCTGGGTTTTTATTTTAAAAACCCAGGGCTATGAGAAAAAACTACAAAAATAGACAGAGATGCATACATAATCCAGAAAGTGTGGTTATCAAACACAAACTTTAGAAGAACTATGAATAATTATGCTTAAAAATATATAACAAGGATGTAAACTTCACCAGAAAACTGAAATTTACTAAAAATAAATTTAATCAGAGAAAAAAATATGAAATTAAAATTAAAAAGGGCAGCATACAGAGATCTAAAAAAAAAGTAATTTAATCAGAGAAAAAATATAAAATTTAAATTTAAAAGGGCAGCATTCAGAGATCTAATGTACACATAACTGGAGTCTTAACTGAAGAGGACAGAGAAATGGGAGCAGAAGCTCTGTTTGGAGAAATAGGCCATAGGTTTCTCCAAACTGAGGAGAGACATCAAAGGATAAGTCTTCTAAAACCTTAAACAAGGTAAATATTTAAGAGCTTATAAGAATCACAGTGAAATGGCTGAAACAAAAGTAAGAAAAAGAGGCACCAAAACACCCAAAGAATCAAGACACAATGAGTAAAAATAAGGCTGACAGCTTTCCTCTTCAAAAGAATGACAGAAGTTAGAAGACAATGAAATAATATTTTCAAGTATTGAAAGCAAATACTTTTAACACAGAATTCTATTCAGAAAAAAAATGTCCTTCAAAGGTGAAAGTGGAATAAAGATATTTGCAGAGTCTATTGCTGCAGTAAAAGGAGTACAAAAGAATACTCAAAATTTTAAAAAGTTCTTTAGATCCGGGCTCGGTGGCACAGCCTGTAATCCCGCACCTTTGGGAGGCTGAGGTGAGTGAATTGCCTGAGCCCGCGGGTTCGAGAACTGCCTGGGCAGCGAGACCTCATCTCTACAATAAATCAAAAAATCAGCCGGGCGTGGTAGCGCATGTCTGTAATTCTGGCTACTCAGAAGGCTGAGGCGGAAGGATCGCTGGAGCCCAGCAGGTCAAGGCTGCAGTGGCCGGGAGCGGCCACTGCACTCCAGTCTGGGTGACAGAGTGAGACTCCAACTCAAAAAAAAAAAAAAAAAAGTTCTTTAGGAAGAAAGAATTACTCCAGATAGAAACACAAAAATGCAGAAAAAATTTAAAAAAAAAAACACTGAAATTCATACATAAATGGGTAAATGCAAATGAATATTGACTACAGAAAGTAACAACATCACATGGGGTTTAAGGAAAATGAAAACTTAAATGCTTGGCACAAGACATGAGAAGTTAAATAGTAAATGTGTACTAGACCACAGCATTTTCAAGGAGGGGATGAGGGTGCTTATGTATGTCAGACTGCCATCCGTTTAGGATATGTCTCTATCTCTTAGCCGCTACTAAGACAATATTTTAGAAAAATGTATTTAAGCTTGTAAATTTATTAAAATGTACTTAGCAAAGGAAGATATACCTAGCTTCTTTGGGAACATGTGAAATTTTAAAGAAATACTTTATTCTAAAAGTGAGAGAAAATTAATATAAATAGATGGAGGGCCTAGCAAACCAACAAACAAATAGTGAGATGGTCAATATAAACACAAACATAGCTGTGTGTGGTGGGTGCACACCTATAGTCCTAGTTACTTGGGAGACTCAGGCAGGAGGATCACTTGAGCCCAGGCTGCAGTGAGCTATAATCATGCCACTGCACTCCTGCCTGGGTAACAGAGTTAGACCTTGTCTCTAAAATAAAGAAGTAAACAACAATCATAAACACGAGAAATTACATTAAATGTAAACAGAGTAAGATTCCAATTAAAAGACAAAAGTTGTAAAACATACACACCTTAAATATAAGGACACAGAGAGGTACAAAGTTATAGACTGAAAATAGTGACACCAAATAAACACTAACAAAAGAAAACTGATATATGTATACTAATACCAGACATATTAGACTTTAAGGTAAGGTGCATTAATAACTTAAAGAACATTTCAGAGTGATAGAAAGGTCAATTTATGAACAAGATTTTGCAATTCTAAACCTATAGGCACTAAACTATAATTTTAAATCTATAAAGAGAATTTGTCAGAGCTAAAAGTAGAAGAACTAAATCAAAATATTCTCACTATTCTCCTCTCATCAAAACTTGACTATTAGTGGTGGCCTGTGAATAAATTCATAATTTAGGTAATTCATTTATAATATTTAATGAATTACCTCACAGGGTGATTTGCATTGAATAATTCAAAGCAATAACTTTCTCTGCTTGTGGAAGTCCAGGCAGAGATCAATGTCACTTTTCCTGGAACTGAGGAATAAAGACAGGCCCTTATGTTTTATTGACTTATCCCACACACACCAGCTACTATAAATAAAGTCTGCCCTTCAAAATAGATAAAGAACAGACAAATCATGCCATTTAAAAGTTAAAGAAGAGATTATTAGCAAATATTCCAAGGTCCAATTTCTCAACTGAGCTAAATGGCTTTCACAGATATTCCCATCACATTTTGGTATTTTTATTCAAATACTTGATCACATTTTACTTGTTTACTGATCTGCCTCCTCCCTTAGACCAAAAGATCTTTAAGGGTATACACCGTCTTTGAATTCATCTTTTAATTTCCAGTGTTTTTATACATGTTCATAGTACATAGTAACTAATAAAGAGATTCTATTAAATTGGTAATACGATAATTTCTTATTCCACTACCCTGTATACTTTGCACATTATTAATAGATATTGCTATCCTTCTCTGAGTTATCCAAGTAGTATAGATTTTCTTTCATATTATTTTTGAAATATGATATACTGCTACTTTTTATTTCTTTCTAAACAATGTGAACAGGGAGCTAAATTCTAACTCTAAATTAATGAAAAATTACTGAACCATTAATAAAAATGTAGCTGAAATATTTATATTTTCCCAAAGTGAGATTTCATGTATTTTTCACAAATAGATACTTAACACATACACTGAACATTAACAGAGAAAAACAGCTGATTTCATTTACAGGTTAAATAAGTGCAAATTTCTTTTACATTTAGTTGAGTACTTTTATCTTTGTGAGCTAATTATTAAAAAATTGACTTTCTCACATTAAAATTTGCTAGTACTTATAAATTAACATTGCATTTTAACAGACTTTGAAAACAGGAGACATATGATTTTTGAAAAGGAGTATTTATTGCTGACAATAATGGAAGAGAATGTAACGTGATTACTAATAATTTTTCAGGTTAAAATGTGTTATAATGTGAAGGTAAGGTGTTATGACCAAATAGAATAGGATTTGTGAAATGTCTGCCTTGTTGCAATCACTCAGAAGCAAAAAATAGTTAAGTTTTGAGACACTGTGCATATCTGACACCAATTCTAGCTAGTGATATGTAAATAAAGTAGCAATAATGTGTATACATTTTCTCCTAAGAATATTTGATTATATTTAATAACACTTTTAATAAATTGAGTGCAAACATTGAATTTAAATGTATATATATTTATTGAATCCCTAGCTGTGCCCGACACAGAGTTGAAAGCTCTTGGGGGTCTGAGGACATGGAGTGAGCACACTCCTCCACAGGCATCACAGCCTGGACATGCACTGGAGCCTAAAGGGTTAGCACCGAGTTGCTCCACTCTAAGCTCTGCCACTTACAAGTTGTTTACTACATACTCATTACATTGCTCTGCGCGATACACTACTCTATCAATTGGTAATCCTTTCCTGTTTTGTTCTGCTTTTTTTGTGCCATTTTTTGGGTAAATGTGTTTTTTCCATCTTCATTTTAGATTCAAAGGCTACACTTGCATGTTTATTACATGGACGTATTGTACAGTGCTGGAGATTGGCTCTCAGGTGGCCTATTCCT